GTGCAAACAAGCAAAACCCCATCTGTGGGATGCAAGCAGTACATGAAACCACGCCCCCTCCAGTCCGCAGAAAATCCTTTGTCCATGGAACCGATCCCTGCTGCTCAAAAGGTTGGGGATATGAAGGTGCCATCAGTGTTTCTCTTTGTCTTGGCTCAAGAGAACATGTAAACCCCAAAGCTTAATCCTGAGAGAATATACCCATAGGCCAGGCATGTCAAACTCGCGACGTCATGTGAGGTCGGGCCGGTTTTGCCATTGCCGGCAATGGGGTGGGCGCAGCTTCCACATGACGCGTCCGGCCCGTGGGCCGGCAGTTTGACACCCCTGCCATAGGCTGTCAAAAAGTTTCTGCAGCTGATAAATTCTTATAATTGCTAAATTGGTCTGCAGTTGATTCATTTCAGAAGACCTTTTAGCTTACAGAATTGCAAGATGCAGTAAAGTGGTGATTGTATCCATTCATCTAGAATCAAAATCATCTCAGGATTTCTAGACTACTTCATTTGAATTAAATTCAAACAGATTCTACCTCAGAATGTTGGGATATGTAATCCAACCTAATTGGAAGGAATCAGATTACAGAAGTTGCTGTAAAAGATGGGTGGCTCCTAATAAGAACATTCAGCTACTTTCAGTCTGTTTAGACTGCAATTGTTAATGCAGTTGCAAAAATATAAAAGAAAAAATATTCAGTCTAACAGCTTTGTTGGTCAACATTTGATATTCCCAAGTCCCCTATCAGTTCTTACTTACTATCAATTGCTCATTTCTTACACATTGTATTTATTATTATTGGTCTGTATATATGGCAGAATTGCACCTGGTATTAAATAGGGAAGCTCGTAGCTAAATTTGCAGAGGGAGTGGAATTATGCCTTACTAATTTTCTAGCTGTTCCTATAATAGTTCTGATAGGGGAAAACAGTTCTATTGTCCACCATTTCTTTCTGCTTGGCTTTCTTAATGAAAATGTGGAATAACAAAAATATATTAGCTCCATATTGTATAAAACCCTCCTTCAAAATAAGTTCATTTGTTTATTTTGTCAATCAGGAGTTTATATTATGAAAGTGAAGGGAGGCCTTCAATCGAATTAACTGGTTGCTTGTCCAGCTAGGTGACTGTAGTTGCATAGCAGGACTATTGAATCCTTGGTGTTTATTCTCTAGTGTGAAACATGATGCTGGTTGTAGTCGAAGAGAAGCATTGCAAACGCTTTTTAAGAAAATTACAGATGACTGTCCCTATTATAGAAAAAGAGTTTTAGCAATTAGCTGTTTCTTTTATGGATATCCCCTTCTGTTGCTTAAGTTACCTGGACATTGCAGAATATGCACGTCAAAGGAATTTGCAGATAGTATATAGTATATTTCAGTAAGAGAGATAATACTAAAGAAACTTACATTTTCTCCTTATGAAATCTAATTTAAATAATGTAGGAATAGATAACCTACTATCTGCTGCAACTTAATCATCTTTGTTCATAGCAAATTTTCACTATGGTTCTAGATTTGAAGCCTAAAAGATGGGAGCTATCAGCTTTTGAAACAATGGACTTTTGTTTTTCTTGAAAAGAACTGCTGCAATCTTCTATCACAACTTTTAGATCTTTATTCCTTTAGGAAATGTCTGACTGGTTCAAAATACAGTAGAGAGGACTCCTCAATCCTTTCTTGTGCTTACTATTCACTTCCTTGTAGCTCCTAAGCACAAGAGGGTTTTTCCATCTGCAGTTCTGATATCATTTTTCTCCAGGTGACATAATTGCACAGTTGGAAGTCGACATATCAGCAAAGGATCTGAGATATGATTGGAGTGAGTGCATGGGCAGAATTTGATAGCCCATGAAAAGGGAGAGCCAATTGGTACCTTCCACCTAAAACCCATTTTACTATTTCCTTTGCACTATTTCTTTTTGTAACCCACTCACCTAAACTAATTTCAAAACAGGAAGTCTTCAGACAACTTCCCCTACAACTACTTCAAGCTACCTAAACAACTCCTATTAGTCCAAGGAGGTATAGTTAGACATTAGTAGCACAATGCATAAAGAATTCTAGAAAGGAATCAGAATAATATTTGTTGTTAAGGTGTTTGTATTGGGATCTGAAATTTTATTTTTCTAGAAAAGGGAAAATCAATGTATATGTTTTACTGCAATTGGGAATTGACCCTTTAAACTAGTCTGCAAATTTTTGGTATAACAGTAGATTTTATTGCAATTATGAACCAATACAACATTAAGCCTCATAATAACATTTCCTTTTGAAGTGGTGGGGTGCAATGTAATAGCATAATATGTTCTGCTATACTTCCTTCTGTCTCTCAAGTTAGATTCATGACTAATTCATGAGATTTTTGAGGGCAAAGTCTGAAATAATGGGTTCGATTTCATCCCGGGGAGCGATAAACTTTTCGCAAAGCAATGCGATATTTGTGGTGTTAACCGTCTAAATGATTTTTATTGATGGTGACAGATGGTTCTGTGGTGATGCACTCAGAGTCACGCCTAATATGTTCAGAATAAGTCTTCTGGAAGGCGGTACATCTGTTTTTAAGATCTTTTGCTAAAATATTTAAATCAAGGTCATTGTTTATATTTGATTTCTAAGCAGCGTTTAGCTATTGGCCTGCCATTTTATACATTTAAAGATGAATCTGCTTGTAACTTCAAGGGCTGCAAATGGAAAGTTATAATAGGTAGCAGGTGTTAGGAAAGGCAATTATGCATTAGGTGCTTTGCTCAATTTCCAAAACTGTCCAAGACTATCCATTTGAAATGCTTTATACCCTAGTTTTATCTCTGAACTATGATGAATTCTCAGATCTAAAGGGAATATGCATTTTCCTTTAATGAACTGAATGCTTAAGCCTATTTGATTTAATTTAAAAGAGCCTAGGCAAACGGTACTGAAAAACAATGTGAAAACAGAAAATATCAAGAATAAATTTAGATCTTTGGCATAGTTTGCTATTTTATTTCCCTTTCTTAGAGGAAAAAAAAACACCTTTGATACAGCTTGTATAGAGAATGGTATTTAGGCCTTTGCATAACGGATTATTCAAAGTTTCTCATGAAGTTTTGCTCAGCTTCTTTTACTTTTGCCAGATGGTGTTGGATTAAGACTGAAAAGAAGGGTTTCTTCTTTTTCTTGCTCCCAAGAATATAAAAGATTTACTAGATCAGATCAAAAATCCATTTTAAGCCATCTTACATAGTCACCTTGAAATTCTGAAAATTATGCTTTTCTTTTGCTCTGAATCTCCTGTCAGTTTTGTTGGGTGTAACAGTAATTAAAAAGTCTGTTTCTCTATGGTTTGGATAGTTTATTATCTGTTTTTCTGCAATCCCTTTAGCTATGGCCTAATTCTTCCCAAAGTCTTTGCCTTATACTCTGGAGAGGTGTTAGGTTCCATTTGAATTGGGTCATCTACAGATGGCATGTTATAACTGGGTCAGACATTGGGTTAGGAATTATGTTGTATGAACTGTCAAACTCAGACAATGGTCAGGTTTAAGGAGGAATTAAATTTAGACCCAGACAGCCTCAGATCTCTTTGGCTGAAACTAAGACTCCTGTACTTACTGTGTTTTACAGAAAAGTCCAAAATAGTTAACGTTCTTGCAAAGAGGCAGATCCCTTGAGCAGTCTTTTTTTTATTCCCTATCTTCCTCCGGCAACAATAGTAGTGATTCTGATTAATCATTAGGGATTCTTTTAGAACTTTTTTTCATTTTGAGTTGTTTATGAGATGTGACTTCCGGATAAGACATGCCCTTTTTTTACTCTAGAAGAATATATCCTTCTGATATATAATTTCCTGGACATAACTTGATTATGAACATATTGTCATATTGATCACTCCCAACTCTAAAAAATGTAATGATCTTTCCCAGCAAGCTCATGTTGATAGGATATCTAAGATATCTTCTAAGGCAGGGCTTTTCAACCTTTTCACCCATTGTACCACTTTTAGGATATGGCAACATCCGAGTACCACCAGTCGTCTAGCAAGGTGTCAAAAACTTGCTAAAGTACAGGTAGTGCTCGACTTACAACAGTTCGCTTAGTGACTGTTTGAAGTTACAATGGCACTGAAAAAAGTGCCCCCCAAGCCACAGCTGAGCAAGACATCTGCCTGCCTGCCTGGCCGCACTCTTCCTTCTGTCCAGGGTTTTCATTGTTGTGAGCATTTCTGTTGACGATTGGCAGCGGGGGGGGGGGGTTGTTTGGTTTTTATTCCCCCCGTCTGCTGGGTGGTTGCAGCAGGTTTTGGTCACTTCACACGACCCTGGGACACTGTGACCGTCATAAATATGAATCAGTTGCCAAGCATCTGAATGTAAATCACAAGACCCTGGAGAGGCTGTAACATTCCAGCTGATCGGAGAACAGCCTGAAGTCAGCTTGCCAGGTGAGCAGAAGATCGGAGAGAGGGAGAGAGAGGGAGAGAGAGAAAGAGAGAGAGGGAGAGAAAGAGAGAGAGAGAGAACTCACGCACAGCAGCCTCTATTTCTTTTTAATTAAACTCTTCAATCAAGCTCCCACCCTTTGTGTGTGCGCGCGCAAGTTTTGCGGCTCCCAGTGTTTTCTCTGGGAAACGGGTCCAAGTGGCTCTTTGAGTGTTTAAGGTTGCAGACCCCTGGTATAGAACAATGCATTGCTTCAGAAGTCATCAAAGCTAAGGAAGAACTAATGAAGGCCATTGACTCGCCCCTAGCAAAACCTGCCCATGAAGAACAATGACAGCAGTTTTATTCCCTCAAGTTGAAGCCAGATGTTTTTTTATTGGCGGATATTATGCTTTTTATATACTTGCATAAACTAGTCATTCTTGGGTAGTACTGTTTTATTTATTCCTATTTTCTCTACACAAATGAAAAAACTTTTATTTGAAATCTGATTTGCTAATTACAAAAAGACTTTCTGAACAGTATTGTGTTATCTACTCAAATGTATTTTTATGTTGAATGTATTTATGCTTTCTTTTAACAGTCTGAACCAGAAGGTTTTTCCCACTTCCACCTATATGTCTGCGCTGCCTTCCTTGTCACATGGAAAAAGGAAATCCTTGAAGAAAAAGACTTCCAAGTAAGTAAAACATTATTTTTATTTTTATTAAAAAAGGATATTTTATTTTATTTTTAAAAAAATACCTTCATTAGTAGCAGAAGACTTCCACTTTTACTGGGTTTCAACAGCCTTGGATACATTTGGATGTTTTTCCGTATTTCTCTTGCTGAATTTAAAATGAAAGGAAAGTACAAAGTTGCAGCTGAATATTTTTCCATTTGTCCATCTCCTTGTTTTGGATGGGGCAACATCAAGATGGTTTGACCAAAAAAATAAAATAAAAAATCCGGCTACCAGGAGTAGGCAAACTTCATTTGATACAATTCCAGCATAGCAACTTTCATGTTGAAAACAAATTAAGCAGAAGGAAAATAGTTTTGATAATTGGTAAAAACTAATTAACCTGGCCATATGGGAAGATAAAGGAAAAATATCTAATCATGTTTAAATGGAGCCCAGAGAGTGGTGTGCCCTTTGTAGGCAGAGAATGTCTGTTTTTATTTTCCCAAAGTATCCATTTTTCCATGTACATAGGGAGAAATATAATTTTGAAATAGCTACTTTCTATTTTATACTTGTTCTTTTTGTCCCTCGGTCTTCAGAGAGTTCGTTGTTCAACCATGCTAGTTTCATCCGGGGTCTCTTTTTTTTTCTTTCTCTGTGATATTGTGTTTGATTGTTTTAATAATCTTGTTTTTCAGAGCTTCCCAAGCATCTTGAGTTGTTTTTCCCTTTAGGATTGCCATCCATGGAATCCTTCCTAATTTCTGTCTTAGTTTGTCGAAGTCAGCTCTCTTAAAGTCTAGAACAGGGCTTTTCAACCAGTGGTACGGGTACCACCTGTGGTGCATTGGCACCTGGCAGGTGGTACTCAACCATCCTAGAAAAGTAGCGGGGGAGGGGAATGAGTTGAACCAGTGGCACCACTGCACAAGCCTGAGCGAGAGATGGCTGGAACTGCAGGGCTGTCAGGGCTCAGCAGAAGCGCCAGGATCAGTGCCGCTTTCCAGCCGATCGACGCTTCGGGGCTGTCAGGGCTCAGCGGAAGCACCAGGATCAGCGCCAGGCTCCAGCTGGAAAGCGGCGCTGATCCTGGCGCTTCTGCTGAGCCGAGAAGCGCCGATCAGCTGGAATGTTACAGCATCTCCAGGGTCTTGTGATTTACATTCAGATGCTTGGCAACTGATTCATATTTATGACAGTCACAGTCTCCCAGGGTCATGTGAAGTGACCAAAACCTGCTGCAACCACCCAGCAGATGGGGGGGAATAAAAACCAAACATCCCCCACCCCATCCCCGCTGCCAATCCTCAACAGAAATGCTCACAACAATGAAAACCTCGGACAGGAGGAAGAGCGCCACCGGGTGGGCAGGCAGGTGTCTTGCTTGGCTGTGGCTTGGGGGGCACTTTTTTCAGTGCCATTGTAACTTCGAACAGTCACTAAGCAAACTGTTGTAAGTCGAGGACTACTTCATCACTTTTTCCCTTTTTTTGGGTCATCAAGTTTTTGACACCTTGCTAGGCGACTGGTGGTACTCGGATATTGCCATATCCTAAAAGTGGTACAATGGGTGAAAAGGTTGAAAAGCCTTGGTCTAGAACATTAGTTTGACTTTGTTCAATGGCCTCTGCCTGCATTATGTTGAATACTATGACCATGTCATAGTGTGACATGGTCACTCTCTCATAAAGTTCCCGCAACTTCCACCGCTTGTATCATTTGATCCCTGTTAGCAAGAATTAAGTCCAGTATAGCTGATCCCTTATTTCCCTCCTCTGCCTTTTGGTTTGACAAAGTTGTCAGCTAGGCACAACAGGAGCCTGGTGCAGATTTTGTCCCAAAGTTGATGTCAGGATAGTTAAAGGCCCCCATTACTACAGTGGTGTGTATCCTGCACCCCTTATTTAACTGAATAGCAAATAGTTCATCTATTTCCTCTGCCTGGTTGGAGGGGGGGGATGTTGTATATACCTATAGCAATGTCATTTCTTTTTTGTCTAATATTCACCCAAATGCATTCAAGAGGGCTTTCATCCCTGGCATTGTGTATTTCTGTAGACATATAGTGATTCCTTACTTACAATGCAACCCCTCCTCCTCTTTTGTTGGGTCGGTTTGTTTTGAATGATTTATATCTTCTAGCAATAAGTTCCAATCAAGGGTTCCATCCCACCAAATTTTGGTAGTGATACATTATCATACCTGCCCTCGTGTACTAGAACTTCCCTGTTTGCTTCCTACATCTCCTGATTTATATCTTCCTTCTCAACACTCCCTTCCTCATTGTCTGATTTATTGCGTTGAGGTTTATGCTTGGGGTTTGGCCTTAAAGATTGGTCACCCTCCTCTTCCATTCCTAATTTGAAACTGTGCTGATGATCTGAGCCAGTTATTTTCCAAACATTCTCGTGAGTTGTGAGAGCAAAGTTGTGATGGCTTTGCTTTCCCATTCTCATGGGACACTGGTGGAGAGGAAACCCTATGAAAGGGAAAGAGGTGGGATCAATGCAGGGCAATGAGGTCTGGGGTGTGTGTGCCTTCATTGTTCCTTGCTGGCTTTCATTCAAATGCTCAACCTCTCACTCAACTCAACAGAAACTTCTAGTTGTCACCGTGGAGCCATCACTATGGCCACCTAGGTTTACTCTCTCGCCTGTGTTTTCACAGTGCCAAACTTTAATTCCAACACTGCATTTTAAATTCTTCATCTATCCTTAATATCAGAAGTTGATGCTCGAAGAATAAGAGAAGAGCAAGCTAAACATCGTGACACGAATATGAAGAGTTTGGAATCCAGATAGCAATTCAAATTGGTGAAGGATGTGTGATGAAGCTGTTTAGTTTATAATGTATTTTTTCCATCATTAGCAGTAGCTTCAATGGTCTGTCAGGGTGCAGGATGTCATGGTTGACCCATGTAGCTGTTAAGCACAATTAGTTCTAAAGTTCTTGATAGAAAAATGTTCTAAAAAAACTATCTGGCAACTTTGTGGAATATATGTGACTGCTGTAAGTGAACTGTTGCCTTTTGTGGCTTAAAGTTGCCTTCAGGGAAGATGCAAAGCCAGCACTAACATTTTATTATATTAACTTTATGCCATCTACCCTTTCAGAAACTAGAATTCTCTTTCTAGACCAATTAAATGGGCTCATTTAAAAGATTGTTTTATGTGTCAGCATTTGCAGTGTAAAAGTTCATTATGAAACTGCAGAAGCATAATTTTGATTGGTTATATTCTTAGCTGGTGCATTTCTAAAATACACCAAAAGGCCTGCCAAGGACTGATTGGATGTATTTTATCGATTTGTTTAAATGCTGCCATTATTATTCACTTCAGGCAGGTAGCTAATTGGATAATCACTGTAACATAGCAACCCAAGAAGCATATCGCCAACGTATTACTTCACTTTGCCTCTAAAGAGCTGCAATTATAGCAGTTTTAGGGTCAAAAGGTGGATTGAAAAAAACCTTAAAGGGATTGAAAAGGAGAAAAGTTATATAGCCTAATATTCACCTCAGGGCGTTCAGATCATTCTGCTAACACTGCTTTATGCAAAGATTTTATTTTCAACCCCACTCTGTTTGACTGTGTTTGTGATCCTCACATTTTAATCCCATAAAGTGTACACTTGGTATGTAATCCTACCTTTCTGCAGTATTCAGCAGTACAATAAAATGCAGATCCCATAGAATGCTCTTTGAAAGTCCAATATTTTAATATGATTAGGTCAGTGCTATTAACTTTGCAGTGTCATTGATCAGCTCTTGGAATTTGCCTCAGGAATGCTTTCTGGATGTTTGAAATGAGAATATGTGTAATTAAATTCATGCTAGCCAAAAGGATTTGCTGCTATTAGAGCTGTTTTTTAATTGAGACGTGTTTAATAATGAGTTAACGTCCCTTACATGATTGTATTCACTCAAAGTTTTGTTTGTGGTATTTGAATGAACTAAGGTAGGCTAAAGAGTTCATAAGGTAAAATGAAGCCAAATAGATATCTAGGAGTAAGATGTGAGGTTACAAGAAGATCCACAAAGAATATACCAGTGCTTTCGTTTAGCGGCTGCCTCATTTAGCAACGATTTGCAATTATAGCAGTGACAAAAAAGTAAGTTTGTGACCATTGCCCACAATTATGACCACATTTTGCAGGTTTATAAACCAAAGGAAAGCTGAAGTGAGATCATAAGTACAGTTGCCATTTTACTTCGTGAATGCTTCGCTTAACAACCGAGTTGCTTGTCTAAATTGTGGTTGCTAAAAAAAGAATACTTGTAGTGTGTTTTGATCTTAGAATCTGTTTTGGTATATATAGCTGCTGCTGAATTTTTCTGATTCCCATTTGTCATTTGTACGCATTCACAACAGATCGAGGCATTTGGGTCATTTATATTTTTCTCAAGTGAAAGGTGATATAATTCTCTCAGAAAAGAGAGAGGAAAGCAAGCTTTGCATCTGTATCTAGAATATTTTTGTTGAAAGCCACACAGAATTCCTTGGTGATCAATTGTGCTATAGGATGAAATGCCAAATTGTTTTATTATCTTTCCATCCATCAGCATATGACTGTTAGCAAATGAAATTGTTACAACTCTAATAATTTGGAAGGCTCAGGAATGTTAATTTTTTTTAAACTGCTTTTGTTAAAAAATAGTTTGTTTGTAGGTATCACATTTGTTACATTATCTACAGGCCTACCTTGTTTTATTGTGCGTTGCAAACTCTGGGGTTTTTTTTTCTTTGCAAGACCCTTTACTGGCAAAAAGATTATGATTTGTTGAAGGCTTGGATGATGATTAGCAATTTTGTTCATAAAAGTTTTTTTTAAAGTTAAAATATATGTGATTTTTTTAGACATAATACTATTCTTCACAAATCCTGACGGCTATGTACATAGCTTCCGCATTAATTGCAGCCTTCAGGAACCTTGCAAGAGAGGATCATCTAGGAATAGTAATAAGTCCACAGTACTCAATGAAGTTGATCAGTTGGGACTGAACCCATAGCTCTTGC